CCTCGACGGGCTGCTTGTGCTTAATCAAGTGCAAATGCAACGAGACACTAAGATCAATGGGGACCGAGGACTCGGGCAGTTCCTCGTCGAGATCGTCGAGCAGATTATGCTGCGGCTCGGCGTTCGAAGTGGCAGCTAGAAGGTCCGCTTCCGAATCAGCTAGCTCCACGCTCTCGCTGAGAAGGAGATTCTGGATACCCTTCCTTAACTTCCGCTTGGGATTCGCTAAGGCGACGGCGTGCTCCCGGTCTACGCGACCGGATAAAACCTCAACGGCTGCACCGAGACTCACTAGCTTCTTGTTGCCCTTTGCGCGATCGGCACCAACAATAACCTTCTCCGCGTATGCGGTGTCAAAGGGATCGGGACCGTCGTCGGCAAGGACGGGGGAATCCGGTACAACGGCTAGTTGGAGCTCGCCGCTAGTGATAGCCTCAATGTAGTCGGTGGCAAAGATGTCATCGGCCTCGTAGTCGCCTGCCTCCTCCTCTGATTCAGAGAGCTGAACAACCGCCTCCGCTAACTTGTCACGCTGGGCCTCGATCTGCCCCAGGCGCTGCCTTTCCCGCTCCTGCTGCTCGGCTTCAAGGCGAGCGGCCTCCTCCTCTTCCTGTTTCTTTTTCTCGGCAGCAGAGGGCAGGCGCTGGTAAAAGGACTCCTTCTTGATTCGATCTAGCTCGTCCTGGGTCTTATGTAGAATGCTATCGACGCCAGAGGTTAGTGCCTTAAATTTGGCCCACTCCTCGTCGCCGCCGGCAGCTCCCTGATTTTGATCCGATGACTGTTGGTGGGCGTTGCTAGAGGATGGTCCCGATCCTAATCCTGAGCTAGAGGCTACTGACTCGTGGTGGGCCTCAACGTCTGATGCCGCTCCGTCGGATTCGCCGGCGTCCGATTTTGTGGCCGCCGCCTCCTGTTTGGCCTTTAGGTCGCGCTTGTACTGCTCGAGCTCCTCCTCGGTGAAGAGCTCCTGATCCTTTTTCGACTTCTTTTTTTTCTTTTTTAGGCCCTTTGGTAGCTTAAGCATTATCTAATTGCGGAGACATCGAGATCGGTCTGCAAATAGGTCGTAAAACTTACTGACTCCGGTCGAATACGAAATCGTGCTGGAGATGAAGGTGGCGGTGTGGTTACAGCGACTACGCAGAATTCAGTTTAGTTCTAATTGGATGGGAACTGGTTGGTCTTGGAACTGCGGGTGGAAGGAGCAGAGGAGGGATTATGTAAGATATGCACGTCTCTCGAAATCGAACCGGTATCGAAACTAGGGTGTCTATAATTTGATGGTTTTGCGGTTTTGGGTTCTTAAGCAATGCAACAATTTGCCCGCCCACTCACCGCCGCCTTATCGGTTGTTTTTTCGGATGTTCCAGCCGTTATCGCTTAAGCCCATAGAAAAACCTAAAGAATATCTAAGAACAAAAATCGTTTGCGGAAAATTTAATACATACTTATGTACGTACACGTATATGTATATAAAGTGCTCGATTGTGTACCTACACGTGAACTTGCCGAGTTGTCAGAGCTTTCCCACCTCACCACCAAAAGAGAGAAGCAACGGCAGTAGTTGAGTCAGTCAAAGCTCAAAGCCCTACGCACACGCACACACACACACACACACACACACACAGAAACTCACGCTAGCTGCCAGAGAGAAATATTTTGCTACCCATAAAAATAGGCAACATTTATTCAGACCCATTGTTTATACCAACTATGTGCACTTGGGACAGTGTGGATTTACTATTCTTTAAGCAACAAATTTATAATTGTAGCTGTTTCTTTTTGTTTTGTTTATCTTGTTTAAGAACTTGAGTTTTGAATCTTTGTTTTCCTACCAGTTTCTACATCAATACTAAATATTTTCATGCTTTTTAGGTTACATCATTATGTTTTCAGCAAATTAATGCAAAACCATGACTTCATAAAAGGTTTTAATGCAGTTAATTGTAAAGATTGTAAAGACATTTGAATAGGTCTTACAGACAAAATAAAACTTTAAAAAGTTCTGCGACTTTTAAAACAATGACTGTAGGCACCAAAATCTCAGTGGACACGAAGATTTTAGAAACTCGTAAAAAACTGTGACTTTCTCTTATGAGAAAAATCAATTTCATATAATAGTGGTAATAAATATAAATCAAATTTAAATCCATGAAGAGTTATAGGAATTTTTGTAGAGAAAATCTTGCTGCAAAAACTAAGAAATATTGGTTTCCTTTGTTTATTGTTAACTGGCCCAAACGTCAATATTCAAATATCTTTTGTTGACGTACTTCCTTTTCAAAAGCTTAAATAGCTTTAATTTGCTCACACATGTCACTTGTCACATCCCTCGAGTATTAGTTGATCTTGATATTGAATCAAAGTTAAAACGGCAAAGTACGTTTTGCAATACGTTTTGTTAAAAAAATGCGAGTAAAAGTAAGCGTCGAATGCCGCTTTTCTCACTCTCTATCCGAAAAAAAGGGCAGTAGTACCATTTTTCTTAGTTTCTTTCCATCTTTTATTTTCTCAATTCCTTCTTCGTTTTCCTTTCAATTTCTTCTCCTTTCCAATGTGAGTTGTTGGGAAAAATCGATGCTTTAGAGACTGACTTTCTGAGAAGTGCGAGCGAGTCGACGTATTCGTGCAAAAGAGACAGCGTCACACACAAGTCACACACACATTTTTGCACACACACACGCGTCACATAGAAAAGTTGAACTCTAGAATTATATACATATGTATGTATGGGTATGGGGGCCCAAAAAACTATAACTTTTCGTATGCCTATTCCCACTTTGAACAAATTTTATGCAGTGAATTTTCCGGAGTTTTCTTTCATGAAATTATGCAACTTACGTCTCACACTTGTGCACACAATTATCGAAAGAACTTCATTTGTACGAAAAAAAAACACACATTTCTCCCTCTTGTTTTTAGAGATACAATTTTACCATATACTTTAAAATACTTTAGTTTCGATTCGCTTCGGGGGCTTTACCTCTGATTTGAACTATCGGGAAATCTAGCACAGAATGAATTAAATGTCGTGAAATTCCGTAGGAAGTGCTTTTCGTCAGCAGCGCCGTCAGCAGAGGATAAGCAGCGTTACGACGGTATATCCTGCCAAAGCTACAAAAAGCTTTGAAAAGCACTGTACTCAAGGAAGTTTTCTTCTACAGCTGACATTGGCCTTTTGTTACGCTATTTACTGCTCCGAAAGCTTCGAGCCTCTGCAAAAGAGAGACTGAAAAGAGGAGCGCTGTCATCTACGTCACTTCCATATGACACTTGACATTTTATCTAGTCTTGATTTGGGCGCATGCGTATTCTAAACATGTTTCAGCCCTGAAAATATTGTAGACTACATGAGATAGTCATTTTTTTCATATGTAATCAAATACTGTTAAAATAAAGCTAGCCCTTTCGGTACCATCTTTTCGGTACCAACTTTGTAATGACAAAGCTAACGCTTTGTCATAACCGATTTATCTGAAAATTGAATATAACAGGGGCTAGTTCTCAAATAAGTTGAGTGCGTCAATGGATCTGAGCTCATAATTCTGCGACAAAGCCCCCAGGCATTATTGTCCACATTTTAATTCGAGCTATATTTCGTTGAGCAAAGTTCGAATTTTTAAACATTAAATATATTTATCTTGGAATCGTGTTTACTGGGAAAGGGGGTGGAACCGATTCCGCGAAAGCTTTAAGTACAATTGCTTTTGTTTATTATCTTCTTATCCCATTTTGTACCCTCCACAAAATCTTTTCTTATTCTTTATTTAAAGAATTAAAAAGTTTCCCATTAAGTAAAGGGGTACACTATCTACAATATAAAATATGTAACAGCTAAAAGAAAATGTTTCCGACCCAATATATATATATATATTTTTATATACATATACATATATACATACATATATATATATATATTTATATATTTCTAATGCTAATCGAGCATTGCCCAAAAGCCAAATATGAAAAGTGGTCATGCATTAGCTAAAGCTCTCCGATATTTATTATTTAAATGTATTTACTTAACTATATTTTGTTTAATTTATTTTCCTTATTGAATGATATTTTGTATAATATTGATTGATTACACATTTTTTATTTTAATGTGATTGACAATTTTTTAAGGTTGTATAAATGGTAAGTCTGAAAATAAAACAATGAGTTCATGTGGACAAAATATTTTTTGATCCGAGCATGGAATTGAAGCACTGTTAATCCGAAGCGTCATAATTTTGCCATTCCTTGCATCATAAGACTTTTTTATGCTATAAACTTACAACCTATAATGATTCGTAGAAAAGTAAGTAAGAAGTAAAAGAAAAGTATTTACTACTACATACATACATATACATACATATGATCTAGATCAGGATTACTAGCCGAGTCAATACGGACTTGTCCTTCTGTCTGTCCGTCCGTTTGAAAGCTGAAATACCTATTAAAGTTAGAACGTTAAGGTTGAGTCTTCTTAAAAAATTGGTTGGTGGTTGCGGTGATCATAAAGAGCATAACGGGAATACTAAGAAATCATACTGCGTCTAACAGGTAAACGATTTTCCCTGCTAATCCGCGAAGGCTTTTTCAATTTGTAATTTTTTCTAATTTGTGTATTACTTGAAAGTATTCTCTTTGGATGTAGGAAGGACTTCTTGTCAGCATAAGCCGTCACTTTTGAATTTAATTATTTGTGATTTCAAATCAATATCTGTGTTGACCAAAAGAAGCAGAAGTTTAAGTTAAATTTTGAATCTGAGTGAAATAGTATTTTGAAGCCTAATTTCTTGTAAGTGAAGAGTGAAAAATGTGGATCTCGAACAAGCCTTATTTTCTGCTAAAACGGAATGTAGTACAACAAAATATTTTAAAATTTCCACTTTCATATATCGATTATTGATGTTTTCTTTAAAAAGAACCGAAACAAACATGTACGTAAGCATCGATGACTTTTCAGCTCTTCCGATACACGTAACGATAGACTTAAAATGGCCACACTGTTATGTGACAATTTTGCGATAGCTAGGGCTGACGAATATTCATCGATATTTTTCCTTGGCACACTAAATCACCTGCAGTCTCTAACACATAAAAGTTAAACAAACCCGTAAACAAAAACAATGACTCGGAAATGTAACGTTTTAGATGTAATGGCAATGCGCAACATTATATTACCCATTCTCATGGGTAAGACAGCAACTTCAGCCGCCCTACCTGTGAACATTTAAACACGCATGCCAGACATTCTTCTGCCTTTTATTATTGGTAATTATAAAACTAATTTTGAACATCTTGTTTACTTAAATTTGCTAGTCAATACTAATACTGGCAGTGCGTACGTATCTGTACGACAACTTGCAATAATCGCTGGCAGCATTTAAATAATTTACATATTACCAAAAGCGAAATAGACCCATTATTATTAAATATTTTCTAGAGAATTAGCCGCGACTTTTATCAAGGACGCGGCACCCTGACAATAAACGCTCTCGGGATGCCCTAGGATGCCCATCTGAAGGATACCCTCGGAGGATCCCCAAGATGTAATCTATAACGATCTTGGACACAGGCCTTGTTGCAGCTAATCACACGCACAAGGTGGATACACTAGATGGATAGCGCAAAGATTATAGATGTGCTGAATGATCCTAGATAGATGTGCCATGCCTTTCCTTAAAATGTTTTCTGCTTCCCTACTACTGGCAGGTATGTATGTCCGGATCCGATGGTGTGTTTGTGGTTTCCCCCAAGAGGCATTTCTGTCCACTCGAAATGTAATTTCTGGGGATTTTTATTCTCCACGGATAACGAATAATAAATAAAACACTGTATTTATAATAATTATAGTAACAAACCAAATATCCCACTTGCAGTTCCCGGTGCTTCAACTGCCTAGTTCCGCAATTGACCCCAGATTTGTCTGGCTGTAACCCACAGTGATCCGAGATGAACTCTTCGGATCGGATGTCCACTTGGTAGTTGCGATCTGATCCAAACCAATTTTTGGGTTACATATGTTTAGCAAAAGGTTGTAGATCGGCCAATCGTATACTTAACGAGACTGCGTAGAACTTATTTATTTAAATACACATTCGATTGGCAAAGCAACAAAAGGGATCTTATTATGATATGGAATGAAGCATATATATGTATATATATGCTCAATGTTTTGAAGGATATCAGGCGAGTCTGGTTTAGCTGTATTCCGTCGGTAACTTAGTAGCACTGTGCAAAGGCTGTTATAAACAAGTATTTGTGGTTTCTTAATAGGACATGCATTGAAATTCGTCGCGAAAAACCACATGCAATAAAAAAACGTGTGGCCCAAAAACGACTTTAGTGGAATATTTTGAATTTATCTCCAAGTTTTCCCATAAACGTATGGAAAATTTTGTCTTGATAAGTATTTTGGTGCGAAATGCATGAGCCTAAAAGTTGACAAGGGGGAAAAATAATGGCTTTGTCCAACGTACCTTTCGAATTTCACATTAATGAAAGAGGTATTTCGACTTTATTTGTTAATAGGAATTATTTATACTCCTTATTCAAATACAAACAATCAAAGTCGGTTTTTTTAAAATAGTTCCCAACAAAATACCTATTTACCATTTACCTATTTGCCCATGCTGAAAACCTCTCCCATTTTAGACAAATCCGGCATGAATTTAAGTCCTGAGTCATGTATCCTGTATTTCCTTTTTCACAGGAGTGAACCTAAATAGATGGCGGGCGAGAAATCCACAGTTCGTCTCGCTCTTTTCTGGATTTCACTGCGCTGCTGGTTGCAACTATCTTGTTCTAAGTCGTGCACAGCTTACAATCGAATTCGGCTTTCCAAGCGGCAACTGTTGAACCACCAGGATTGGATGTTGTGGTAGAACTGCGTTTTGTGGCCAAATGCGGGAGCATGGAGCCGGGCGCAGAGGTCGCAAAACGGGGAGCTGGGGACCAAGCGGTAGTGGCTGCGCCACCAGAAGTAGCTTACATACATATCCGGATCCCCAGCCACGAAGTTCAGGTACCTGGCCAGCTCCTCCACGGTTTCAAAGCGATTAGCATCGACATACGAGTGCGGGGGCAGGATGCGCGAGTAGTCCGCTCCGCCGAAAACCACTGGTACTACGGTCCGTTGCAGGGCGTCGAAAAGCTTCTCCGTCACATAGTCATCGCACAGCGAGTTCTCGAATGCCAGGTAGAAAAAGTAGTCCGTGTCCAACATCTCGTCGCAGCGCGGATCCCCCCGGGTGCATCTGAAATTGGATCAATAGTTAGTAAGTAGTATCAGTTGTATCGGTGTCGTTACGAATTCTGCATTCAAAACATATGAAATTCGCATGCCTGTCGGTTGTTACCAACTTAAGGCATTTCATTGAGCTTGCGTTCTTAGACTTCCAAGCCAATGGGGTAAAAATGGGCTACATTGAATTACGCATTTAGTGAAGAATTTGTGAAAACAGACTGCTTTCCATCGAAGCGACAAGACTACCAAACCGATTCATCTGAAATTTCGTAGACATTCTTAAGCATACATAAATCCACAGGTAATCATTCCATCAGTTTTGTTAACTTCTAAAAGCAGCTTGGCCTGATTTTCACCAGCATTTTTCTTGAGATTTTCTTGAACATCGATCATGCGGGAAGACAAACAAGGATTCAAAATATATAATGGCCAATCACCACAAAATCGTCCACCTTTCCATCGAATGTCAGTATATTTATTTTTCGAAAGCCTTGACTGTACAAGCAACTTCTGCTCTACCTATGTTTTTAGAGGAATTTCAGTCAAGGAAGCTGCATGCGTTTTGCTTTATAATTTTGTTCACCTGAAAGAAGCTCACCTGAGTGTTCCGCATTTTCCGTAAATGTCGACGTTAAAAAATTCCTGAAGCCTATTAGCCAGGACCTCTCTTTTCGACAACGTTGCGCAATGAGAGACGAACCAGGCGGCAGTTTTCGTCTTTCCCGACCAGAGGTTCCACACCAGAGTGTCGTTGAAAGTCGCAGGAGGTTTCCTCCAAGGCGGTTTCACACTGGGCGCCACCACAGCGTCCGTTGCAATGTCCAGCAGCTGCCCGTAGGGCCAAATCACATCCGAGTCAAGACGATAAGTCATGGTGAGGTTATAGAACCCCTGTTCATCGTCCAGTCGATGCTTAGTCTCCCCGGGAGGTTCCATCAGCGCGAATACGTAGGCCTGGTGGGGGCTTCTATGCGAGGGCACTGGTCGCAGGAGCGGGAACATCTCCGCCGCATGGAAGACAATGGCGTCATAGAGTTCCACTGCGGGCAGGAATGCGTGCTGGTTGCTGATCTCGCACTGATAGACCGGGCAGTGGAGTTCATCCCGCAGCTCCTGCGGTCCCAAAGTGTCCCAGGAAAGCTTCCATCGCGGATCACCAAAAAAATCGGTCCAGAGGAGAATGGTACGTGTGGAACGGATATGCCGCTCGTGCTGGCCCCTTAAGTGATCCTGGAGGATTTTGTTTTGATTCAGGAGCGGTGACTGGATGACCTTGTGAAGAACCACCAAGGCGCTGAGCAAGATTACGAGGAGCAGCAGGAGGGCACCGCGCGGCCCACAGGCCAACCGTGCCGATCGAACAGCCATCGACATTTACCCAACTCGGCCAGATAACAACCGCCAGGTTTTTCGCAGCTACAGTGAATCCTCCCTATGACTTTTTTATTGAATCTCAACCCAGGACCTCATTTGAAGTGGATGAGATATGTGAAAGTGAAAGATACGACATTTAGTACATATGTACTTTTGAAACCAAATTACGAGTTTATATCAATGCTTAGAGACACTCAAAATGAACAAATTAACATTCCTTGCAGCTTAAGTACCCTAAATAAATAACCTTATATAAATAAGTAACTCAGGAACTTGTTGGACGGTTTCACTGTAGCACTAGCCGTAGTTGGCTGGCTGAAGGTGCGAGCCCGATAAGACAGTCCATTATTGATTGCCGGTCCGATATGTTCCGAAAACTCAACTACCAAACACACATGGTTCCCACTCCTTCCTACCTGGCTGTATAAACATTGGGCTAGATTAGAGATATCGGGCCCTGTAGCCCGACCTCCTCGAACTCAAACTTCTGGCACTCGCACTCCTTACATGGCCAGCGAGTGACTTAGGTCCAGGCAGCGCTTCAGGAACCGAGTTACCAGGCAGAAGATTACCACGAATCCGTGGACTAAGCAGCACCTGAGGAGATCCACCAGGAGCTTCATTCTCCGGCGGCAACTGAGAGCCAAACAGAGCTCTGAATCGGAGGGTGGCAAATGCGAAATCTGCTGGACACTCGACACTGGTGGACTCGCCTGTGGAAACGTTTCAGCTGTTCCCTAGCCTCGAAGTTCGCCAGCTAATTGCAGTGGAGCAGAGTAATCCCTGCCTATTATCCTACTGCACTGGTCGTTGTGTTTGACGCTGATATCGCGGAATCGAATCTAATGACTGATTCTCATGAACACAAATTACATTGGCATCACGATTAGTGCATGCACATGTACATATATGCTGGCACACTTACAGACCAAGTCCAATAGCCATTAGGCGTCGAATGGGCTGTCGACACATTGTTAAGTCCCCTAGGTCTTAATATACATGAAGTGGAAGCACAAAAGTACGCCTGTTCTCAATATGCTCTGTTACCAGCTTACTTAAACTTAATCTAAGTAGCCGCCCCAAAACACCGCCCCGCAAAAAGTATGAAACAGGTAGATCGAGCTATCCGACCCTGTACGTAAATATATTTTGTCCGTATGTCCGTCCGTATGAACGTAAATAAAACATTCCAAAGTCATGTTCTTTTGCAGGTGGTAAAGATCTACGGATAACAATCCGTATATGACATCTCAGTCTTAGCGAAATTTTCTTTCCAATGATGTGCGTTGCCTTTGTTTTTTTCTTAATATTTTTCTATTGTTTTCAGAACAGAACACTGAAAAATATAATTATGAATATTAATTATACCCGTTACTCGTTGAATAAAAGGGTATACTAGATTCGTTGAAAAGTATGTAACAGGCAGAAGGGAACGTTTCCGACCATATAAAGTATATACAGTAGAATCCGGTTATAACGGGACGATTTTACGTCGTTATACCCGGAAGACGCACTAACAGAAAGAGGAAACAGTTTTTTTTTGTTTATTTTATGGTTGCCATGTTCGTAATATGTTTTAACATAAAACAAATGAATTTCTTAATCAAACAAAGAATAATAATTTGCATTATTTCTTCGACGGAGAAGCACTTTCGTTTTAAAGACATTTTGTAGGCGTAATGCACAAGTGTCGAGCTTAATCTGAATGAGCTTAACATGTGCATTTAGTGCATTAACTCACATTTGGCGAATTTACGCATTAAGTTTTATTGGAAAAGAACAGAAAAAAACTAGAAATATAATGTAATATAATAATATGGAATATAGGCATGAGGTCTGCACACGCACGCTGTAAACATTTTTGTGATATTTTGTATCTCTTTTTTTTTGTAATTATTTTAAATAATTACTGTAAATTATTGTAAATATTTTTCTGTATTTTTTTGGCACGTCGCAATATCTGGTTGAATTATGAAAAATCTCATCGGTATAAGCGGTTTGTCACTAAAAGCGGAGACGTACTAACCGGGGGTCCTTTCATATAACATTGTATGAGGACCAACCAAGCCATCGAGTTTCCGTTGCAATAACCGGACTGGCATTATAAGCGGAGTCGTTATAGCCGAATTCTACTGTATATTCTTGATGATGTTCGTCTATCCGTATGAACGCCTCGATCTCGGGAACTACAAAAGCTAGAACGTTGAGATTAAGCATGCTCTACCGCCCACAAGCCGCACAAAACTGTCACCACGGCCACACTTTTGAAAAATGTGATATTTTTTCATATACTTTGTACATTTCAACAGATTTGCCAAAAAACTTTTTGCTAATCCCACTTCTACGCCCACAAACGGTCACGCCCACAATTTTGAAAAATGCTTTGCTATTTTTTCACTTTTTTATATACCTTGTAAATTTCTATAGATTTGCTATAGATTTATCACTGTAACGCCCACAAATCGCACAAAACCCTCACGCACACACTTTTAAAAAATTTTTAAGTTTTTTTAATTTTATTACTTTTTTCCCAATTCTTTGCGATATTTCAGAAAATTTTCAAATTTCTCGTTAGCTCTTCCACTAGCTGAGTAACGGGTATCTGATAGTCGAGGAACTCGACTATAGCATTCTATCTTGTATTTTCTTTTAATTCAACCGACTCATATGCATAAGGTTCTCGTGTTATGTACATATACAAGAAAAGAAGACTGTCACATAAGTAGCAATACGGTAATCATATTTCCCTGCTATACTATCTCACCTTAAAAAAAAAAAGATAAAATGCTATAGTCGAGTTCCCCGACTATCAGATACCCTTTACATAGATCTGGGCGGTTTGTGGGCGCGGCAACAATTGGAAATAAACTTGCGCTGCGTCTATGTCTGTGGAAGCTGCATGCTTGATCTCTTTTACTCTACGAGTAACGGGTGTAATTACATATATTTGCTTCTTTTAAACCATATATTTAATGTGTCGTAAAATTGAATTCTTAGTGCGGCTTAAAATGACTCACCTACCGCTTTGAGAAGGATGATTCAGCACGCCCCCCGATAGCCCCATTAACAAGATAGGTGCAAGTACAAGATAATTTATTGCTGGGCGCACAGAAAGGGCAAGAAAATCGAATGATATATGTATATATAAGCTAGGTGCCGCGAGCGCTGAACGAAAATGTCTGAGGAATTTTGAGATCAGTAATAGGGACCAACAAAAATACGTGGGGTTAATTTGGTACTAAGATTATTTAATAACAGAACACACGCGCTAAAAGTAAATTTGTAATATATACACAAGATCAACATCGGCTACAGGTCTACTAGTTTATAGTTATGATTACTATCACAATGAGGACGGCTAAATGCCGCAGCAGGATCGCTGGCCCGCAAGATCTCCAGGATCCGGGGCCCCCGAGTCCTCGGAGTTGTTAAGGGTATCCGTGTCCGGATTCTGGAGACGTAGCGGACTCGCATCAGGTTGCCGCTGGCTCAACTGCTCCAGCATCAGATGGGTCAGAAGCTCGAAGAGCTCGGCCACGCCCTCGTTCTCCTTGGCCGAGGTTTCTACATATTGAGCGCCAACCGTGCGCGCATATTGCAGGGCCTCATCGTGCGTCACTGCTCGCTGTTCCTCCAAATCAGTCTTGTTCCCGACGATTATCAGGGCAATCTCCGTGCCGCGCATTTGGCGGAGCTCCCGAACCCAGGATTTCACCTTCTGGAACGAGTCTCGGTCCGTTATGTCATAGACGAGCAGGGCGCCATCGGAGCCTCGGTAATAGATGGGTCCTAGGGCGTGAAACCGCTCCTGACCAGCCGTGTCCCAAATATTCAGCTGGGCCCTCCTCCCGTCCTCCAGGGACACCTTGCGGGTCACAAAGGACGCCTGCAGGGTGGTCAGGTGCTGGGCATTGAACCGGTCCTCCATATAGCGCAGCACCAGCGAGGTCTTGCCCACACAACCTGCAATAAAGGGCTGTGATCCTTCATGGCCTAAAGGCTTGGGTTTGCCTGGCTGCAAAACGTACCTTCGCCCAGCAGCACCGCCTTGAAATTTAGCGTGGGGCCGCTCCTCGTTCTGCTCGAGCTCATTGTGGTTTCCCGATAGCTAGGTGTCCTGCCTGGTGCACATCAGTTTTCAGAGGGGACACGGAAAAACAAAAAAAAAAACAAGAGGTAAATGAAAAGATTGGATTTTTACTCGTCCGCCAGTGTGGCTGTCGTCCAGCACTATTGGTAGGGCACTCGGATTTGCGTTGAGAGAAGCGTTGCTTTCAGCAGCTACAGATCTGGGCATATTGCGGTCTGAAGCAAGGCCTAGTAGTCAATGTAGTCGAAGTCGGATATGACAGCAAATACTATGTATAAATATTAGAGGAATATTATAAGTTGAAAAGCATTTGAATTATGAGCAAAACATCGATGCATGGCTTAACATCGATATTACCATCGAATGTATGTTCGATTAATCGATGTTTCCCACATTACCAACACTGGAGCACGGAGGGGTTCGGACGAAGCGTAACATAATTTTTTTGCTTGTTATCTATTAAAAATCGTTGACCATGGCCTACGACCTGAAGAAGGAGTCGGACGTAAAGGAGTACGTGGACAAGCTGGGCGTGGAGTATCGATTCGGGTGCTACTCCGAGAAAAAGCCGGAAGGTGTGTGCCGCGGCGACGATGGCGATGGCAACGGCGGCAAAAACAGCTGCGGTCTATAACCTCCGACTGCAAGACATTTATTACATTATATTTATGAGATAACTTACTGCCCTCTTGCATTGCAGCGTGTCACCTGCTGGGCGACTTCTTGGAGGGTATCAAGAAGGACTTTGAGAAGGCCTCCAAGGTGTACAAGTCGACTTGCGACGACTATGGTTACGCAAAGTCCTGCTACAAATTCGGCAACTACAGTTTCCTAGGAAAAGGCAGGAGCGGCAGCAAAGGAGATCCACGAGTGGCCTATGAGTACTACGAGAAGGGCTGCAACTTAAACGACTCGGACGCATGTCTGCACTCTGGCCTGCTGCTCGTATCAAGGTCCATGCCTAAGGAGATCGACAGGAATGTACCCAAGGTAAAGATGCACTTAAAAAAGCTAGCATGCAGTAATTCCATTTGGAACAGACGAGTTCCCTTAAATTGCAACTACATGCTACAGCACCTGCTCTCATTTTCTACCCGTTTCTCATGCAAAACTAGAACAGAAATAGAAGAATAGAATAGCAACTGTCCAGACAAATGAGCAATTGTAATTTTCCGATTCTGTTCCAATGGAAGCCTATGAACATATTTCCGTAGGCAAATTCGGTCCAATAATAGTTTGACCCAATTAAAAACTGTTCAAAATGATCGCAGCAGGAATGTGCTTAAATTTATTTTATTTTGCGACATTATGTCGAATGACTGAATATATAGCAAATTACATTAATATTTTACAAATCCCGCAGGGCCTGAAGTTCCTGACCAAGAGCTGCGACATGAACAATGCGACTGCCTGCTTTTATCTCTCCGGCATGCACATCTCGGGCGTTCAAAAAAAGCCGGAGCAGAGTGCTGTCAATGCATCCGCCGGAAGTGGTACATCATCGCAGCCCGCCGGAAAAACGCCATTGAAAGACTCCGACTATATTGTACTAAAGGACATGAAGAAGGCTTTCCAGTTTGCCCACAAGGCTTGCGAGCTTCGCAACATGTATGCGTGCGCCAATCTCAGCCAGATGTACGCCCGGGGCGATGGGATAGAGAAGAACGAAAAGGAAGCGGAGAAGTACAAGAAGCTGGCCCTGGAAATGCAGGACGAGGTGAAGAAGCAGCAGGAGACGTTAGGGTTCCAGCAGGGCGTGGGCATGCCTAATTGATTCAGCTTCAGTTTGATTCCTGATATTATCTACTGCTGCTGTTCTTTGGTCCTTGCTTAGTTCATTATATTTCTTCACGTGTGTCTGTCTGGTTTCTCTTCACCTTTTTACCCTTTCAGTCAGTCTAACTTTGGTCGTTAAACTAAGTATTTTGTGTGATTTCTGTGTACATAGCTGGCAGTTGCATGCGAAGGAGCGAGAGAAAGAAAATAAGTAACAATAGAAATTCCTAGTTATAATTGTTAAAGTTTTCAAGTAACAAATGAAAAACCATTAAAAATTCTGTTGATACCTTATATAAAAATACAAACCAGTCTAACCAAAAAGGAGACGAAACAACTAAAGTTACAAGTGTTTTAATTAAGGTTGTTCGTATACATTCGGATGTAGAAATAAGAGCATCTCAGAATCAGTGCAGTTTTCTTATAAGAATCACTAGCTATCCGACCTTGCCCTCTCCATCTATTCCTAATTTTCTTAGAACTTAATTAAGCGTCTTGTAATATGTGCTCGTACTTTTAATACCCATTAACGATCGAATGTATGAAACTTTCCCTTTTGCAAGTAGATTATAAGTGGGAACGGAATCATATAGCTGCCAGGAATAATGTACCTTCGTTGTATTTGATCATAAAGTTGTAATTTTGTATATACGCTTTAGCTTGCTTAAACTTGACTCAAATATTTAGGTAACATTTTGTAAATGTAGGTATGTTTCAATTTATTAAAAAAAAAATTATGGATGTTTGGTAAAACTCTTATAATTTAAAACAAATTTTCTTTTAAAAAAAATTGTATTTATGTCAGGGGTCATAAACTATTTGACCATTTTAATATCATTTTTCTACTCATGGTATTGAGGTATATTAGTATTAATACCAGCAATTGAACACTAAAAATGTTTTTTTTTTTACTTTTAATTTTAAACAAAAACAGCTTCTAGCAAGATGAGATAAACCGCACTTTTCTCCTTGTAGCCAAAGACTTTTACAGCAGTGAGCAGAGCAATAAACGTTACCCAATTATCGTTTAATTGGATTGGCAAGATACATATTGGCAAGACTCTTCAAGAGTCGAGTACATACACTAAAAAGGAAAAGCTTTCCTCTACCTTTTACATTCAACGAGTCCAACAAAATTCTTTATTCTACGAGTGACGGATATAAAACGTATCCATACATTTTTATACCCTTTACTCGTAGAGTAAAAGGGTATACTAGATTTGATGAGAAGTATGTAACAGATAGAAAGAAGCGTTTCCGACCATATGAATTATATATATTCTTGATCAGGATCAATAGCCGATATCCGTCTGTCCGTCCGACTGTCTGTCCGTCCGTATGAACGTCGATATCTCAGTAACTATAACGACCACAAATTTGATATTATTTCATTTTATTATTAGTCTTTTAAATTTCCATTGATTTGCCAAACAACTTATTGCCACACTTTTCAAAAATAAAGATAGTACCATTAAAAATAATTTAACTTAAACCATTACTAAACTTTTTTTTTTTGAAAATTAAATTAAAAACGATAATTTTGTAATCTTGTAAGGAATGTAAGTAAGTATGCCTAGAAATGGAAACACGGCTCTATATAGCAGTCTGTTTGTGCACTACTCTCTCGGTGTTCATCGTCACTACGCCGTTTCTACGGAAACAGCCTGACATTTTAAGAGATAGCCTCTTTATTAAAAACTCTCTTGTCCAATTAGTGGCTGTTTAGTTAGATGATGAAAGCTCCTTCCCACATTATTTTATCTTATATCTCATTTTTCCATCTGTATGTACATATTTACATACATACTTGCATTCACATATCTCTGGAGAATTTCGCCGCGACGGCGAAGAAAACCAGTCGCCCACATGTCACGTACATAAGTCGGAAATATGCTTTAAGACAATAGAAAGTAATAAATTGTTTGTTGAACCCTTCTCATAGACTTCGAGACGGAAGTATCCGACAAGTTTGGATTAGCTGGATAAGCTAAGGAGGAAGTTCTGTTTAGTTTGCTAAAGGCGTTTTGAAATATTAAACTTTTTGAACCATTTTGAACCAAAAACCATTTTGATTTGTCCATGCTTAGTGTAGAGAGCCAATCAAGCTATGATTATAGTTTAAGCAGTAGGTTTATTATATGAACTTGAACTTACATATATAAGATTATCACCAAATTCCAATAACAAGTACATAAAATAAACAACAAACACAAAACGTAACTTTTTTAAAACACACTTATAAGAATGCTTACCCTTAACGCTTACCTAAAAAGGGAGCCTTACCAAATTGAATTCAATTTTAGACAAATTAATCCCAAAAAATGAACATATTATTGCTTACTTTTATGGTGAATTCTCTTGAGTTAAGAAGTTCGTACTTCTATTGTGATTTTTCCTAAATATAGCGCGAGTTTCTCTGAATTCTAGCGACTGTTTTCTTTGTTTTAGGGTAGATCGACTTTGAACTAGGACACAATTTTCTGAAATGTAAGGAAAATGGTCTTGCATTTAAAGGTAAAGTTGCACTTTCAAAGACAATTTTTTTGCTACATTTTTAATTATAATGCTTTGAATACTTGAAAATATTTTCTTAAATATTCCCAAAAAAAAAAACGATGTATTTTTTTATATTTTTATTAGTTGTATTTGTTGTTTTTATATTTTTGTTAGGTTTTATTTTATAAATATATATATAATACTTAAAATTATTTAATTATAATGTTTACTTAAAAATAGAACTTAGGCTTTATATTTGGGTGTTTTTTTAGAAAATCGAACTTAAATTGGGAACGAAATGTTCATGGCGCGTTGGCGTGCATTTATGTTCCGTAGCCTTGTTTTTAGGGTGCGTTGTCCTAAATTGAAATCGTCCTTAGTTGTAGGGCTTCTTTTTTTCTAGGACGAGAATTTTCTAAAATGCGGACAATTTGTTCTATGAGTTTGCATATATGTACATACCTATATCCCTTGTCCTCCTTGAATATGAAATTTATCTTAATATTTTTTGTTAAAAAATGTGCGCGACTAATTTACTAACTTGCTGTTCTTTAAATCACCACTAATCAAAATCGTCACGCTGTCGGCTGTTACGCCGGCAGAGACCCTCTCTTTCCGTAAATCTTAAAGAATAAATTGATTATTAAAGAAGTGTAGCGATTATATGATGAAAATAGTTGCTGCGTTTTTTATGATTTGTGAACAGGGTGGCGATCAAGCAGTTCCGCAGGTACTGCAAGGTAATTTGTGATATAGGGAAGGCATTGGAGCCTTTCAAAACCTGGTGCGTTTGGATCTTTTTGAGAATAAACCTTATCTTCTGCCACGCCTTTTTTGAGGTGTAGGACCAGGGTAATCCGGATGGGGAATGTGTGGGTTAGGTGCCAAGCCCCAAAGCGATGGCACGAGTCTGCGCTTAACTCTAATTAGTTGACCGCTCTACCATGACTTGACCTTTGACGATTGCCAATGCCCACCCTGCCCCGAAATAAAATTGACCAAATGCAAATAAACAGAATGGAAAACTGAATAACTGAAACACTGCCGAACAATGCACCCACTACCTCACAACTAGCAAATACGATCTCGAAAAATAAAATACAGGCACGCACACCAGCCAGCAATCCGCTTTTGAATAATTGCTGGTATTAGTCTATAGTCAGTTAAACTGTACTATAGTGGCACACATAGTACGTACGTATATAGGCACACACACACACTCGGATCCAGAGCCAAATCAAGCTCGGCGAAAAACATAAAAAAAGAATAGTGAGCTCGGTTTGGACTAAAGCGCTTCAAGCACCGATTCAGAATCAGTTTAACGTCAACGTCGGTGGCATCAAGACAATATATGTACACACAACAACACCAGCCGCATCATATCAAAAAATTTGAAAAAATACAACAAACACAAGTACAACAAACAGAGGCGGAGAACCTGAAAGCGAAAACTAACCGCAACATTTTTGGCAGCGTTCAAGGAACGAGAACGGAAACGATAGCGAAATATCGAGATTAGTGTCAGCGAGTGCAAAGACGCGAGTGAACGCGGAACGAAGCGAAGCAAAGCGTAACACCGCGGAAAAAAGCGGAAAGCGCTGCGTAACGGGATCAGACTTAGTGTTTTTGTTTTTGTGCCATAACCTTTGTGTGAGAGTGTCAAGAAGAGCAAGGTCCAGAAACAACAGATACATGTAGATACTTCAATCGAACCTATGTCACTCGGAACCCCAAATACAAGACCCAATTGAATTCACGAATCTTTAGCCAGGGTGTCACAGAAATAAGTCTATTCTGATCTGTGATCAACAACTTTGCCGTTCTTATTGACGAACATAACAATTCGAACATAGAGATTTCTGCTACACCACAAAAATTAAAATACTAGCATACTGGTCGGATATCTATTGTCTATCCAACACTAGTTCGGGTTCTAAGAAGGTCGATTGTTTCCTTTTCCATTTCATTCCACCCATTTCTTCTTCTTTCCTTTATTGTAAATTTCGTTTCGGAATCATCGCTGATATCCAGCAAGGGAATGAAACATTTTGAATCAAGCGGAAATTATCATACGAGCTTAAGTTACTGTGCTCAATTTTATTTTAAGTCGTGTGTTAATTGTCGGATATATTATATGACACTACCTTAAAAGTTTGAACATAAGAGGTGTAAAGACATATTTGTTATGACTTGCTAGTCATATTTACTTGTTAGGTAAAAGGCTTAAGTTGAAAAAATAAAAATAGCATAAATTATAAATTGTATTCTCTTAAAAAAGTATCCATTTCGTTATCTATATATTTGATAAAAACACTCCATTCTTTTTAGCCCTGTACAAAATGAATAAAATATCGGTTATATTGAAATCTTTGAAGGTATCTTCAATTTTAAATTAAAGAAATTATTATAATTAAATTTAATTTAACCAACCATTATTTATGAATTAACAAGTATGCGTAATAACTTTACGCCTTTTAAAGTGTACGAATTACTATACTGGAATAAAAGGTTTAAGCCAAACCTTTTCATGATAATGGTCCTTTTGAGACAAACTGGTTGCAACAAATATGCATCTTAAATAATATACACCTAATCAATTAGAATGATAAAAATAGTAGGAGAATGAAAAATAAAAAGAAAAATAATTGCTTAACTCAAGCTCGTGTCACATTACTTGTTTTATTCCCTTGATTCAGGCTCAGAATAAAATCACAGTTCAGGAAAAATCAAAGGAAACGAATGTATGTATAGGGTTTCTGGTTCTCACATTTTTTTTGAAGAAGATATGCCCATATGTCCACAGGTTGCCTAATTTTAGAAAGAAATGAGATGCAGGACCGTCTTGCCGAGGTGAAATCGTGTGCGTGTGAGTGAGGAAGTGTTCGTCGGTTCGTGGCAGAGTCTTAGCGTGTTTGTGAGTGCCCCAATTGCCTCTGCTCCGCCATCCACCACCCACAATTCCATCCAGCCGCGGATTCTACGTGCCATTGTGGATCATCTGGATCTTTAGCGCAAATTGAGATTTCTCTCACCGCCTCACTTAAGCCGAGCCGATCTGAAAAGAGAACCCAGGCCGTAGGGAAAGAGGAGAGGACGGAGATAGAAAGAAGGGGAAACGGAAAATAAGCGAATAGCGACGAACAGAAGAGAAAGGTGCGGGAGCCGTAAGAAGCGCGAAAGGAAAAGGCAAAGGAAAGGAAAGGAAAGGAAAGGAAAGGAAGGAGAGGAAAGGAAAGAAAAGAAAAGAAAAGAAAAGAAAAGAAAAGAAAAGAGAAAATCAACACCATTGAAGTGCGGATTGAGATTAAGATTCAGATTGGGCTTCGGCTTCATACAACGGCGCATCGCAGTTTACGAGTGTCCATCACCACTACAACACCGTGCAGCAATGGAAGACTATTGGGGTCTTAGCAGCACTACGGGTACATAACCACTAACAAAACTAACTAGTGACTAAGCCAAAACTAAGCCAAATCAAGTTAAGCTAGCGCCACTATTTCCGCCCGACACAGTACCCCAATAACCAATTTATTTACGAATCGAAACCAGGCGAAAACAGTGAGATCGAAAGCTGCAGATAAGTTTTAATTTACTACAAAAGTGTCCCTTTTAACTAGATTAAAATTATTTTCCGTTGCTTTCAATGCATTGTGCGACGGCGGCGGTGGCGGCGACAAAAAAGAGAGAAACAAATTTAATAAATCAATTAAACATCAAATAACTTTAATGCAATGCAATTAAGTGTGCTTGTGCGTGCACTGACGTCATAGGCCTCTACACATGTATGTTCCTATATGTATGCATACACGGGGCTGGACCGATGAAAACGTTTTTTCTGCACGATGGCACGCATACACAAGTGCATGCCCATATGTATGTACATATGTATCTATGTACGCCTAAAAATTCCGGGTGTGGGTGTATATGTGCGCGGATCTCTTTATGCCCCGCGAGTGCATATGTGTGCGTCTGTGTGTCTGTGCGCGTAAACTAAGGCATATGGAGCAATTGTCTAAATTGGCTCATTAAGTGAACCTTAATGACATTTACTATGCACAGTGACAACCAAAACTGTGTCTTGCTTGCTTGTTTTTCACTTTTTTCCTTTCGTTTTTATTAATATTTTCATTTAGAGTTATTCCTAAGTTAGTTTAAGCTCGCATATATATTTCATGTCTATGTTTTATTGGCGCATCGTTAATGTGAACAACAAATCGTTGGCTACATGGCGTATGAGCAATATTCCTCATTAAGGTATTTTCACAAGTATAACGCACAAAAAATTTATACTATTCACTTTTTCCTTTTTTTTGTTTGTACACCAACGAATATAGGGGTATTTTACATAAAGTACGTGCTTATTTATCAACGCTCAATATCATCATTGATCAAGATATGCCTATCAAGTCGTAACGCTTGGTAAAATAATAAGATTAAAAAAGTTCTAAGCATATTGCAAGGAAATCCAAATGAAAAGCCCTTTCTGAAAAACAGTCAAATTAGATAATAGAAATTCAGCCCGGGAAAGTGTTGTTACCGAAACTTTTGTGAGTTTCCTTGCTGTTAGCTTTTAAGATCTTATCCTTGCTTATACATACGTTAGATCGAATCTAGTATACCCTTAATATATATTTATTGGGACCAAATTCACGAACGCTTTTTTTGGGCCCTTGCAGTAGACGTGATATCTTGAGTTTTGTATAGTCTACTTACCGAGAAAAAGAAGTGAAAGAGGGTATATTGATTTTAGTCATACGTATTTTACGCAATGAAGAAGATTTTTTTGTTATTTTACTTGTCTTGCCAATTTTTATCGGTATACTACAAACTTTTTGGTCATGCTCCTTCTAATTAACACAATCCGCCCAAACCTGACACGCCAACACCTAAAAAAAATGTTTTGATTTTATTTTAATTTTATTTTCTTGCCATTTTCTATGGATATGCAAAAAAAAATGTACATTTTCGTTCGCACTCTTACTGCCTGAGTAACGAGTATCTGATAGCATGGTGATTATGTATAACTCACCACACGAACGCCCAAAAACCAACACGGACACGCCCACACTTTTAGAAAATGTTTTTTCTTTTTAATTTCTATCAATTGAACAAAATAATTTCAAAATTTCTCCCTGGCACTGCCACAATCTGAGTAACGGGTATATGATTGAATATTATGATCGTTTTCTCTTCTACTTAATATTTTTTGAATCGAATGTTTCTTTTGAAGTCATAATTAAAACAAGATAGAGTGCTATAGTCGGGTTCCCCGACTATCAGATACCCGTTACTCAGCTAGTGGAAGTGCAAACGAGAAATTTCTAAATTTTCTGAAATATCCGTTAAAAGTGATGAAAAAATAATAAAATGAAAAATAAAATAAAAAATTTTTTAAAAGTGTGGGTGTAACAGTTTTGGGCAGCTTGTGGTCGTTGGAGTGGGCGTGGCAAAAGTTGTTTGGCAAATCTATAGAAATTTACAAGATATATTAAAAAATGAAAAAATATCACATTTTTCCAAATTGTGGGCGTGACAGTTTTGGGCGGTTTGTGGGCGTAGAGTGGGCGTAGCCACATTTGGAAAGAATCTTGCGCTGCGTCTCTGTTTCTGCAAGCTGCATGCCTAATCTCAACATTCTAGCATTTGTAGTTCCTGAGATCGAGGCGTTCATACGGCAGACGGACAGACTGACAGACGGACATGGCCAAATCGACTCGGCTATTGATCCTGATCAAGAATATATGGTCGGAAACGTTTCCTTCTGACTGTTACAGACTTTTCAACGAATCTAGTATACCCTTTTACTACACGAGTAACGTGTATAACATGTTTAAAAATACATGATCAACGGCGTTAGTGTTAGTTGGATAAATGAAATATCTTTGAATAAAATTTTACTACTCAAAGTCAGTTAAAGGTAAAACAATTAATACATTTACCTGTTTTAGGTAAATACAAATATAAAAAACTTAGTTGTATAACTATTTTGAACTTGGATATTTTCAACTTATTTGTGATATTAAACAGAATGTACAAAAGTTTAAGGCGACTTTTCGTACATTTACTCCATTTGTGTGCATTTATATATCCGTGAGTTATCTATCTCTTTCTAATACCCATTAAAAAAATTAATTTAAATGTTACCAAATCCCTTTTTTTTAATTATAAAAACCAAATTTTTCCAACTATGAAGTCCGGTTTCTCAGAGTCCTGTGCTTCAGGGCCATTTTCGTCACCGGATTCGGGATCATCGGAATCAAGCAAACTTGTATTTCATTTTTTCATGTAAGAAAGTGTAATCATGAAAATGAAAATAAAACAAGAAAGGAAGCTAGCTGCGGCAAGGCGAATTATAAATTTATAAAATATAACTGATGTATACCAAAAATAAAACTTTATTATCAAAAACGACAATACTATGATGTCTTATACTCGTCACTCGTAAAGCAGAAGGTTATATTACAAGCTGAGAAGTATATTACAAGTTTCCAACACTATAAACTGTATTTCTGAATGCTGCTTTGACAGCTATATGATATAGTACTTCGATTTTTATCGGATTAAACCCGAAAATGAATCTTTAAGAAACGAATGTTTGATAAAATAGAAAATATTTGATGATGAAAAACAATAAGAGCTAATAATACTTTTTGTCTCTTATTTTCAATTTATTTTCTCACTATTCCAATGCTAGCTATATACTGTAGTCATCCGATTTCGATTAAATTAAAAACGAAATTATGTGTTGTCTAAATTTTCATGTATACCGAATGATAACATTTCATGATCAAATAAACCAAAGGTACGTTTTTCGATTATTTCTTTGGAAGCTTTAGTAACTTATATACTACCGTCAATAGGAAAAACACTTCTGGAAACAATGTACTCAGACAGCCATAAAATACTAGTTTACATAGAAACGACGGACAAACGGACATGGACATATCTACTTGACTGTTGGTACTGATCAATTTTTACATGTATAAATGATTGCATACTTCTGACAGAAATCAATATATAAATGAACTATTTGTAGCCCAACAGCGTCGGATCCAACCTAATTCCCATTTCTGCCAGAATTATTGGCTTAGGTGCAGGTAGACTCACTTCCAGAAGATACGGAGACAGCACCAAGTAAGACTAACTAACTAAAAATGGGAAAAAATATGCACAGACAAAAGCCACAAAGCATGGATCGTTCACAAAATGTTTCTTTAAACGAAACACAAAAGTCATATTAAAACGCATTGTCACACTGATTTTCCTTACTTATGGTCAGATAAAAACTTACATATGGGTACACACATGGATGGTGGAGAGCTTTTTGTGTGGGATGAGAGGCGATGTGCTTCAAGTCTTTCTATAAAACAATTGTGACAATGATGCGGATACGTAATATGCAGTCTTCCAGCCACACTGACATTTGTTTAACATTTACTATTATTCTGCTGTTAGTTTGAGTGCTTTTATCGAATGATGGAAACCAAAATTGCGGAAAAATCATGCTCAGAGAAAGCTAGAAAAATTATATATTATTAGTCTGGTTAATTATTTGTATTAGTAAACTAACGAGCTGGGCACATTTAAAATTTTAAATTACTAAAGTTCAAAAGTTTGGGCCCTGAATTCTACCTTCAAAATCAAAAAGTGTTTCGATAGCTGTTGAAAAGATAAATGAATAGAAATTTATAAATGTTGAGTATAAATATTAGTATGTTAAAAATGCGACCATGACATTAGCTTGAAACTCGCGCCGCGCTCTATCTGAGACCTTTCGTTTATTTAGACTGGTGGCGAGATTGACTCGTCTAGTAATACTAATTAAAAATAGCTTTACAATATCTTTCATAATTTTTCTACCTTCCAAGTATTCTCCTGCAGATCTCCTCATAAAATCTTCGTTTCCGAAATGACTGGTATTACTAGGACATCGTACTTTGGGCGATTGGAAATTGACAAAATCTGGTTCATGTTTGCATATTCGCATTTGGTCCTTCATAGGACGCTTTTACACAGAGATCAATCCAGATTGACTTTCTGCAAACTTTAGTCACATATACCAAAATAACGCTCGATTGCAGCGAAAAATAAATACAAATATTGATTTTCCAGATTGAGAGTCGAAGAGATGGTTATGCGTGGGGAAGGATCGTAGTCCATCGACGAATAAAATCAGATTGCACAATTAAAAAATCAGCAATATACAATTTTTTAGCCATAATGATTAATTACAAACTTGTTACTGCCAATATTGCTTCCAGTTTACATATTTCTAAGATTCACATATTGTAATAAATCCTGAGGTTCACTGGCGCAAAATTACAGGAATTCTATACGCTTTCACTTTTTGTGCTTCGCTCATTCAATTAAAGTTTCAATTAAAGTTTGATTGTTATCCACACTAAATTGATTATCATTAACACTCCTCTTCCCTCCTGATCATTGGTCATTGGTCATTCGCTATAGCTAGGGAACTCTGTAAACGTTTATTAAGCATCATTGCATTATGCGGGTTGGCGGTTACAAAATGCGTTTGTCTCAATTGACCCCGGGCTCCGACTTTCTGTGTCCCTCAATCTTCGTCTGCATATGAGTCTTTACTCTGTACATATGTATAAATTTATATATAAAATTTAAATTTATATATATATATATGTATAAAGTTATGTTTGTGATCCTACCTCGGACTGGGGTCCATCGTGTATAAACAGATTCAAAATTAGGCAGAGGAATATTGCGAAGAAACTAAGATCCTTTGAGTTATTTGTTGTACATAATAGCAGTACAATTCGTTCATTGTTGATATCCAAACATATATTTCAAACGAATTATTAAAACTTTGTAAATATACTGGAATTCAGATATTGTGATCATTGTTTGCATTAATGCTGCAAAACTAATACCAATCACTAACCCCTGTGTTAATCGTCAGATCAAACGCTCACAATCTGTTGATTTCCACCGAACGAAACAAAGCTAATTTTGTTTGATTGGTTCAGATGTACAATAGCCTTTCATATACTTGGCTGATTACTGGCTCTGGGTATTTAATTACACTATGCTACATTTCTTTTGTTCTGGGGTGAAGTGTATGTGTGTTTTGGTAGTACTCATTGATGCTAGCTAAGCTCCATTTGTGGAATTGTAATATCTTATTGATTAACAATATCCTACTGTTTAAGATTTTAGGAAAAGAAAAGGTATGAGAACTCATTTTCATTGGTTATATGATATAGACGACAGTGGCGACAGCTGAAGCTTATTTGCCCAAGTCCACATTTACCATGTTGCAGAGTGCTATTGTACCTATGTGTATTTGTATTTCGACCTACGGTCACAGCAATAACTATGTCAGTATCTTCTATATGTCTCTATCAACTTATGCCGCTCAATCTATTGCCATTATGAGTGGCAAGTCAGTTTAGGCGTTGGGTCTAGTCGTCATTTATTGTTTTAATTTGCGGATTGAAGTCTGTATATTGCTCCTTGTTCTCGGCACTGGGTGCCGATTCCGGTACTCTCGTACATGGATAAAAAATACAGCAAAGTTATGAATTACCAAAAGGCGACCTATATGGAATTAGTATTTAGACACCCGATTTTTATATCAATTGCAGACAGAAGTTTTCGAGTAAAAAATGTTAGGATTGAAACTGGTAGCTTAATATTACATTTACAAAATTGTAAAGTATCGAAGAGTATGTAAAGTATTCTCCACTTTTCTGTGCAAAATATTTCCCAGACATCAATCTTAAAAAAAAAAACAAGATTTTGTTTGAATAGGAATTCCTTTTTATGAAATATTGAATTAAATATTCTAGAAGATACGACAAACATGATTTAAAAATTTCGTTATTCATTGAGTAACAAGTTACTATAGATACAAAGAAATTAATAGGAAATATAATATAAAATTGAATTAGTAATTTGAATTTGGTTTGCGCGAATTATATCTACGGAGAAGTAGTAATGAACATGCTTTTACGGTCAGAAATGTTGCACCTGGACATCCAACTATATCCAGAGTAATACAAATTAGCACGTGATGTATGCAAATAGGAATTTGAAGTACGATTTTTCGACGTGTTGATATGTTTTCAGTTTTTTTAGCTGGGGCATAGTTTTCGGTTTCAATTTAAAGCTTCGGATGAAGTTTTATCGTGCTGCTTCGGTTTTTTTTGCTTTACAATCCAATTTGATGACATCAAAGGCGAATTTATCGCTTCCGCTGCCGATCGTTAGTGGATCGGAGGTCCGTCGCATTTTTGATCGATGATCAAAAGCTTCGGCTTCTATTTTTGTTTCGGTTCCAATTCGCCTTATGTTCCGGCACCAGCAGATGTATTTGTATCTGTAGCTTACTGCTCGCGTTGCGTCTGTATGAGTATCTAGTGTAATTGTGCCTGTATCTCGTGCAGTTTCCATTTCGGCTTCTGTTTTGAGTTTCGTTTCCTGGGGTGTGAGGTACTGGTTGCCACGTTCTGGATTCTGATCGCCAGTCTTATGGTCTTTCTTGCAGCTCTGCTGGTTTAGTTCATTATCGACGCTTGAGACTCCGACTTGTGATACACAAAAATAGAAAGACGAGGCAGTCGAAAAAATTCGGCAATTCGGAAACCCTAGTTCCCCGATCGATTGAAACGCATCTTTTTGTTGGGTGAAACTTTGTTGCAGTTGCAGCATGAAATGTGCGCAAACCAAGTGATTTGTATTCTTTTTCAAAGTTGAGAAAGTAAATGACGCTAAGCTGGATTTTATTTATTAAAAATTCCGTTTAATGCTAAACCACTTATTCATTATAAGAATGAATCTAGTTGTGTAGCAGCTTACAAACATTGTTAGCTCTAAATTTAATTTCTCAGCGACAAAACGACACAGGATTTTAAGAAAGGAGTTTCTTTTTTTATCATATTAAGATTTTATATTCTCTGCTTTCATTTCATTTGTCTTACCTTAAGGCTTCGTTTATTATTTGCAATATTTGACATCTTAAACATAAATAAGTTTTATGACATAAATAATAATTAAATTACCTGGCCGTCAGAGCAATTTTTATTTCCGAATAAGTAAAATTGTTGACAGTGCTTTAATTAATTCAAATGTAAAATCAATTGCAATTAAAGGTATTGCATACCCTGAAACAATTGAATGTTTCAGGCAAAAGAGCGGTGAAGGTGTGGTATAGAATAATGTATAGATAGAATGTTATAGTCGAGTGCCCCGACTATCAGATACCCGGCTATACGAGAAATACCCGGGGTAAACGAGAAATTTCAAAATTTTCTGAAATATCGGTAAAAAGTGGCGAAAAATAATAATAATCACATTTTTCAAATATGTGTCCGTGACAGCTTTGTTCAGTTTGTGAGTGTTAGAGTGGGAGTGGCAACATTTGGAAACAAACTTGCGCTGCGTCTCTGTTTCATGCATGCAAGCTGCATGCTTAATCTCAACATTCTAGCTTTTGTAGTTCCTGAGATAGAGGCGTTCATACGGCAGACGGACAGACGGCCATGGCCAAATCGACTCGGCTATTGATCCTGATCAAGAATATATATACCTTATATGGTCGAGAACGTTTCCTTCTGCCTGTTGCATAGTTTTCAACGAATCTAGTGTACCGTTTTACTCTACGAGTAACGAGTATAATGATTAAAGGACATAAACAAGATAGAATGTTATAGTCGAGTTCCCCGACTATCAGATACCCGTTACTCAGCTACTGGAAGTGCAATTGAGAAATTTCAAAATTTTTGGGAATATCGGTTGAAGTTGGAGAAAGAATAATAATAATAAAATGAAGAAATACCTGACAAATTTTTTAAAAGTGTGGGCGTGAGAGTTTTGTGCGGTTTGTGGGCGTTACTTTTAATTTAGTTTTTTGGCAAATCTATAGAAACATACAAGATATATAAAAAAGTGAAAAATTACAACATTTTTCAAAAGCGTGGGCGTGCAGTTTTGGGCGGTTTGTGGGCGGTGGAGTGGGCGTGGCAAAAAGTTTTTTTGCACATCTATAGAAACTTACAAGATAAATAACAAAAATATCACATTTTTCAAAATTGTGGGCGTGACAGTTTTGGGCGGTTTGTGGGCGTAGAGAGGGCGTGGCAACAACTTGCGCTGCGTCTATGTCTCTGGAAGCTGCGTACTTAATCTCAACATTCCAGCTTTTGTAGTTCCTGAGATCGAGGCGTTCATACGGACAGACGGACAGACCGACAGACCGAAAGACAGACGTACATGGCAAAATCGACTCGGCTACTGATCAATAATATATATACTTTATATGGTCAAAAACATTTCCTTCTGACTGTTACATACTTTTTAACGAATCTAGTATACCCTATTACTCTACGAGTAACAGGTACGTTGTTGTAAACGTACTCAAAAATTTTTTATCCAAAACGAGGACTCATTCGAAGCGAATTTTCAACTAGAATACAACTATTGCAAAAAAATAGGAAATTGACTACGGGCCCAATATCTCAAATTTTGTAACATTTACTTTTTCACATTTTTATATGCGACTACTATTGATTTCACATCTTCTCCGGGTGCGCTTCGTCACTACCTAGACCAGGTGCCGCCCGCAGTGATAGTAGTCGCAACCAACAGTAGGTTACCAAAATTAAGGCTTAGATGGTTTGGGTTATATAGTTTTAAGTTTCTTTAGTTTAAAAATAGTTAATATAAATTAATGTTTGCTAAAGTGTTGAAGCTTACCACCAAAAGTAATTTTTCAATTTCGCATATCTTGCAGACATAAATTGCACTCAGCCCGCCATCGATGACTTCCCCAGAGACCTGTTCTCGGAGGCGCAAAGACAGTCCGGTGCTGTTGTACTTCATGTTATAGCCAGTTTATATTTATTTGTAGCCTTAGCCGTAGTGTGTGATGAGTACTTTGTGCCAGCAGTTGAGAAAATATGTGCAGGTAGGTGTGCTGTGAACTTCGAATCGACTTTCAATAATTAATGCATGCGTACCATCACTTGCAACTAAACTAGCACTCAACATGTCCAATGATGTGGCGGGTGCCACATTCATGGCCGCGGCCACCTCCGCCCCAGAGCTATTTGTCAACGTGATAGGAACCTTTATCACGGAAGGCGACATCGGAGTGGGCACGATTGTCGGATCGGCGGTATTTAACATCCTGGCAGTGGCCGCGTGCTGCGGAATCGGAGCTGGCATGGCAAGTTTACTTCGCTGTGATTGCTCAAGACGCATTATTAGCTATTTTCTAATCCTAACCCTTCTGAAATGCAAAATACAGACAATACCCCTGGACTGGTGGCCACTGACGCGGGACAGCATCGCATATGGAGTCACAGTGGCCATTCTCATTTGTGTGATGCACGACGAGCGTGTCGAGTGGTATGAGGCCCTCATCCTGGTCTCCCTGTATGCCGTGTATCTGGCGGTCATGTATTTCGACAAAACGTTCCAAAAGTGCGCCAAAGGTGAGTGATACCCTAACTTTGGGGATAACCTGTTACGACAGAAACAGTAATAGGCTAATAAAGAAGAAATATTCTTAAGACAATGTACAACGACTTTTCAATCATTTTAACATACAAGCTGCGTTCCAAAGTAAACGGGACTTCAAGAATCTAGGGCTCTCTAGTGGCGCTATCTATATGTCGATTAGTACGTTAAAGTCTGCCATCTTTATCGACTTCCATTAAAAATTTCATGACAACGGAACTGAAGATATTGCGTTTTATGTAAGTGTTAGTATGTTTTTGTCATCGGTGCGAAAATGAGCTTCGAACAAAGAGCCAACATTAAATTTTGTTTTAACATTGGTAAAACTTTTACCGAAACGTTGCTCCGAATTCAACATCATTAAAGATGCAAAAATAGACCCGAACTTCGTTTACAAGATTGTGACAAGTGACGAAACGTGGTATTTATGGTAATATGATCCCGAAACGAAACGCCAGAGTGCTGAGTGGAAGGCGCCGGACGAGCCGAAACCCAAAAAATCGCGCCTGGAGAAGTCAAAAGTGAAGACAATGCTGAAGACAATGTTTTTATGATGATTTTTATATTGTGATTTTTATATTGTCCACAAAGAATTTGTCCCACCCGGCCAAAACGCGGTATTCTACCTTGAAGTTTTGAAGCGTTTGAAGCGTGCAAAATGCTGTATTAAAGCAGAAGGAGACTATTTTGAATAAAATTATTTGATTTTGCCGATAAAAACATATGCTCTGTATTTTTTTGTAAAGTCCTGTTTACTTTGGAACGCACCTTGTAATGTATTCACAAACTTTTTACCCTACAAACTATAGATACTCAAAAAATATAGTGGTATGATAAATTTCGTTGAAAATATAGATGTAATAGATAGAAGGAAAATGCGACCCAATAAATTATATTTTTATATATTTGTTGACTAGGATCACTAGCCAAGACGAACTAGTCATGCCTAATCTAAAATTTTTAAGTTTTTTTAGTACCCGAGATCTCAGATTTTATACGGACAGACAGACGGACACATGGAAACGCCCATGGACTCGATTTATATGTATTGATTAAAATCAGGAAAGAAAGCTACAATCGAATACTATCACTATTAGATACCCGTTACACAGCTTATCAACTTAAAAGTAAATACTTATCCACATATAGATGGCGTCCGGTAATATTTAGCATACAAATCATTCTGTATCTAGCTAGTGCTTCTAGAAGTATGCCCCTGGTATACTATTGCTTTGAAAGTATGTTACATTATTTAACATATTTTTATCGAGCGTTTCTGACCCCTGAATTCAGTGTCGATCTAGACACTTCCGTATGTCCATGTGCATGGCTTCAAACTTGTTTTATGAATTACATTTGAAGGCTTATTTCCTAGATTTCTTACCAGACACACATTATATACACATACATATAGTACATACATATACGCAATACCTTACTCTCACAATACCACACAGGTGGCGTTAAGCAGGCGCGTTCTCGCAGCCGGTCCTCCAACTGCAGCATACATACAAAGAACAGCAATGAGAAGGAACCAGGTACACACGAGAGCCCCATTTCCAACTTCACACTACCCAATACCGCCCACCTCTTATTGCTAATGTCTGACCCCTAACCTCTGACCCATGCTCGCTTTCAGAGCCAAACTTATAGCTGGCTGATATTAATGTTTTCCAAAACCCACTACCGCAGAGCTCGTGGAAAACCGGATTTGCCAGAACATGGCGAACATACAGCTAAACGGAGGACTTAGCAATGACCAGGCCAAGGCCACAAGCACAGCCGGAGCCAGTACCACCACCATTTCGATCACCACCTCGACCATGACCACCACATTGAGCACCACACACAGTGCCGGAGCAGGAGGTGGTGGTGGAGGAGGTGGAGCAGTTGGTGTTTCCTCAGGACCAGGTGGCATTGCCCAGATGGCACCAATAGACGGGGCCGAGGCGGAATCTCAGGTGGCCGCGGCAGCCGCTGACGAGGACCGTGAGGAGGAGGGATACTCGCTGCTCACCTACCCGAAGGATAAGAGCTGCTTCTCCCAATTTACCTGGCTCATCATTTGGCCAATCCATCTGCTATTTCGCATCGCCATTCCTGACTGCAAGAAGGCCAAAAACAACAAGATCTTTCCACTGACCTTCATCATGTGCATAGTTTGGATCGGATCGCTTTCCTATGTAGTTGCGTGGATGATAACCATAATTGGTAAGAAACGCTGAACAATTCAAGGTCGTTCAAGCCTTCGTCCTGATAAATACATTTTGAAAATTATTCGCAATCGGTGAGCCAAACAGATATTGCCTGTTTAGACAAGAAACTGAAATACGTCGATGAGGCGGTCCGAATTAAATCATTTTAGGAAATTTTTTTTTTCGCCACAAAATGAAATACAGTTTTTTAATTAGTCAAAAGCGTTAGTAATTTAAATCAGAAGTTTTGCTTAGTAAGGCATTATATTATATGTAGGTATAGTACTATATAATATTATATATGGTATAAGATAATATATAATTTAAAAGGCTATTTCACGAACTGAGCGCATCTCTTGCTGAATCTCTATTTCTCCACAGGAGACACACTTAAGATTCCTGACTCGGTGATGGGGATTACGTTCCTGGCAGCTGGTACCAGTGTTCCTGAAGCGGTGTCGAGTGTTATTGTGGCGAAGCGCGGTAAGTGGTGGACCAGCGATATCTGGGAACGTGTGTTTATTCAATTTTCTGTTAAAGGTCACGGATCGATGGGGATCTGCAACTCTATTGGGTCAAACACCTTCGACATCCTGTTGTGCCTGGGGGTTCCCTGGTTAATCAAGGCAGTATTTTTCCCAATCCAACCGGGCCAAAACTACGTGGCCATAAACTCCGCCGGATTGGAGTACTCGGCGATCACTTTGCTGTCGACACTGTTCCTGCTTTACCTTACCTTCTCCACGAACAAGTTTAAGCTGGACAAGAAGGTGGGCACAGCCTGCCTGGTGATGTATCTGGTCTTCATGGTTTTCGCCTCCCTCATCGAACTTAATGTGTTCTTCCGCGTCAACCTGCCCACCTGCGGTCGGTCATGAAATGGGTCTGCATCCAAAAGTTGTGGGATATACGAAGGACGACCTGCAAAGTGTGAAGTTTGGACAAGCGATGTACCATTTCGGATGAATAGATGGAGTGAAGAGATGACAGTCTTCTGGCGCTGGCTCCGATTCAGATTTCCGATTCAGTTTTCGGCAGCTGGCTGGAACAACCCTAAGTGCAGTCGTTTAATTAATTAATATGTATTTTCTGTTCTATTCTATCTACCTTGATAGTTGAGTTACGTTATACGTTATGCTGTTATTGTAATATTTTTTTTTTATTATTATTATTATTAAAGTAGACTCTTTCACAACCTTCGGTTGAAGTCCAAAAGATAAATTCAAATGGATGAGAAGAAATTAAATGATTTACGGAGCGGAGCAAAGGGAGAAATGAAAACTAAAACCAATCAAAAAAATAAACAATGTATTTATATGATTAATATATATGAGATTTAACAAAGTCTTTAGTAATAATGGATATTATTATATGGATTGCCTTGGCTTACAGTGTCCCTGTGGACGGCAGTCCACCTAGTGACGAAGCGCACCAGGAAATATGGCGAAGGCGCTGTAGTTGTCCGATCTACGAGTGATACACACATCAAGACATCAATATATTAAATATATATCAATATATTAAAGACTTTTGAATAAATATATGGTTCGGGCGGTGAAACTGAACTGTTAAAAATTATATTAAGGACATGTTCAAAATACAAATTTGTATAGGTTCGTCTGACTACAACAAAATGCTGTTTTGAAATTCCAAAATATTTTTTTCGGCTAAACAGCTCGGTATGAGAAACTTTAGTCCTACCAGTTTTGAAAAAATCCACTAGCACAGCTTTAAATAGCTAAATTCCAAACGCTCATTACTTTAGAACACCTGGGGCGAGACACCTGTTCTATATGTTCTTGTAAAGGAATTCCGTATGTGTTTACTGCTTTCTAAACGTATTTTATCTAAATACAAGACCAGGTGGATACGTTTTTATTAGCTACGTTATGTACATATATGTAAATTGTAGTTTTCGAGAATTTACGGTCACGAATTTGTAAAACATACATATAAGGAAGAGTAAAATATTATTGCTCCTTTCCAGGTGCAAGCCTTGCTGCTGTTCATATAATATATACATACATATATATAATGCACTCTGGAAAGACTATCGGCTTTTTAGTTCCCACCTGCCTTCTTTTATTCGACTACAAGAAATCTGTTTAGCATTCCCTAGCACCAAAATAAAAGTAAAGAGCTCATTAAGCGCAAGACAAATAAAACGAAAAAAAAATCGAAGTATTTTTCAAAAGTGTGGGTTGATATCCAGTAAACTGAAATACATTTTAATATTATTTAACTTGTATAGAATAAAAGTTTGGCCTAAGTACAAACAACCGAGAGTTCATTGCCAAATTAGCTTCTGTGAGAAATTAACATAATCCATTTTAAGCAATTGCAGCGCAAAATGTAGTACAATGTATGTAAATGTAAATGACTCCCACTCTACATATGTTTTTATTCATGGGCCAAAAACTAAAAAGCGTGCTTTGTTTTCAAACAGCTTCAATACCTATAACAACAACTTCAAAGAACTAAAATACCTATAGAAGCCGAAGATTTTTCAAAATGTATGGAGGTTAAGATCTCTATCTTAAAATCTATACCTATCTAAGCAGCTACATACACAGATTCAGATACCGGTATATTCAGAGTCGGTAGTTTAAGCAGATTTCAAAATATAATTGTTTTAGAGTGCTTCTTTTTCAATAACATAAGTCCAAGACTTATTATTGTTTATTGTAGTTATTTAAATCAATACGACATAAACGTGTAAGCTCTTTAGACGACATAAATCCTTCCCACGCGTTCGATCGAATTAACCCTTTTTGCAAACATTTCACACGCCTTTACCGTCGCCAGCCTGTGAACCCTTTCGTCAGCATTAAAGCTTTCCAAATTAATTAAACAAAAATGTATTCTGGAATCCTATTCATCAGGCCACAGTTTTGAGCAATCCAAATCTTGTGATCCAAGTCCACTTTCACTGCTCGCGTAGCTGACACCGTTAAAAGCCATAGTTACAAGAATAATTTGTAAAGAAGAATTTTGAAAAATAAGTTTCAAACTATTGGATGCTACCTTATTTGTTGAGATTAAACCGGTAAAGAAATAAAGTTTTTCTATGATCTATGATGGGAACAATCGAAAGGGAGCAATCGAAGCGTAGCCTTGATTATTTAATCAACATATATGATCTTACTTGTTTGAATTGCCATCTACAAATCATATTTCTGGATAATTTAAATGTTAAATTGTAAAATAGTTATATTAGAGCTGAATAAAGCGCTAAAGGATAATGTTCTTCGACTGGAGCTTAACTGACTTAAAACACAGCGGTAATGGTAAGCACGCCATTACTTTAAAATACAAATTTAAAGGCGTATCATAGTCCATGATGCTAAAAATTAGTGAGCTATAACCCTATGAGCCACTAAACCTTCACGCTAGGGGCGCTCGCGTGCGATATCTATAGTCACTCGAATTTATGTTTATTGAAAATGCCTTAGAAGGAGGAGCTAAAACTACATAGCTTCCTTTCTTATTATTTATAAACATTATCTGAACAGTTTTTTTTATCTGTGAAACGTTCTATTTACCCCCGTTATATTAAAAAACAAACGAGAACATTTCTTGTGCAAATGGTGTACTGTCTCAGCTTCATGCCTGGGCTGGTAATGAATAATATCTATTTTGTCGTTTTAGAATGGCTGCATTACACGTTTTCATATAGACAAGATCTGCGCAATGATATCGATGACCTTAATTGCAGTCTGCCGACCATCATGGAGTTCCCAAACCTTATGCGACAAAAAAGTTGGATAGCAATCGTAGTGTCCTCTTTAGTCAGCATGTACCTTTTTGTCATCCTGGCGCTTGTCTGTGACGATTACCTTGTGCCAGCCATGGAGCGCCTTTGCTACAGTAAGATACAGTACAGTAAGATACAGAACAGTAAGATACACAATTTCAGATACACAGTTAAAATCTATAACTAAAGTAGCACAGACTTTCAACTAGAAAGAAATACGTTAATCTTAAAGTATTTCAATAGTAATTTTACATTGCTAAGAACAATCATATCTTTGTTCTAATAATAAAGAACCTATGAACTGCTCCGAAAATAACCGATGCTGTTGATGTTTTTTGCCGAACTGTTGAAAATCTGAGTTCTTGATTTTCTCTACTAAAAGTAAGCATTTGACTCGACTTAAAAAACGCTAAATTCAACACAGCCAGTGCTGCGTTCAAGCTTCAAGCCAATTGCCTTCTATAAGCAATATACTAACGAAACGTAAGATATTTAAAATTGAATATTAGTTATAAACACGCTTAACGTGCAATATCTACTAGCATGTTGAAGCTATTACATAAAAGCATTAGCTACTCATTATTATATCCCTGCTGAGAGTATATTGATTTCAAACAGAAGCTTGCGACGCAGTTAAGGAGACATCTGTGACCATATCCATATATATTATAATTATCCGTTTTTACGGTTGTTAAATTCAGTACACATTCGGAAATACATATATAATTTTGGAACCATCGTCAGTTAGTAACTTATTGCTTATTAATGGAAAAGGAATCCTCGCTTCGTTGTTTTCATTCATAAAGCGTTCAAATTCGGTATATAGCAGTTTTTCTATATACATATGTATGTATGTAATCACTGCAAGGGTATATTACTTTCGGCATGCCAAAGCTAGCGTCCAAAGAATATTTTAATATATTCTTGTAATGGTTATCGATGCACTGAGATGTATGACTATGACCCATTAATATTTTTATAGACTCAAATTTCGGTTTTACCTGAATACTACAAGCTGTGAACTAATTGTCTATTTCTCAGGTAAACGTGGATTCGATCACTAATGATTAAATTTGTCATTAAAAAAAAACAACTTTCGATTTGATGCGATATCGTGTATATTACAATTTTAAGTTTCCTTTGTGTTGCACTCGTTTAATTTTGTTATATCCGTTTTAAATAGCCCTGCGAATGACCTACGATGTAGCGGGCGCCACTTTTCTAGCGGCCTCCACCTCGGCACCGGAACTGTTTGTAAATTTTGTAGGAACCTTCGTCACTAATGGCGACATCGGACTGGGCACAATCGTGGGATCTTCCGTATTCAATATCCTGGTAATTTCAGGCGTTTGCGGTATCTTCACTCAACCGGTGCGTACTATCCACAAATTTAGCTGGATTCTGACTCACAAATTTTTTTGTTTCGCATATTTTGCAGGCCAAACTGGATTGGTGGCCGGTGACCAGAGACACAGTCTGGTACCTCGTAGCCATCTTGTCGCTCACATATGTCTTGTGGGATTCGATGGTTATGTGGTATGAGGCTTTTGTCCTTTTACTACTATACTTTGCTTATGTCCTTCAATTGTTCTTTGACCGTAGGATCCAAAATTTGGTTCGCCGTAAGAAGAGGGTTTTTTCGACGTCACTTTATTTTATTTAACACTTTATTTTGTAATAACACCATATGGTTGACTTAAGATTTGGCGGAAGCTCCCAAGGTTTTGCATTCATAGGACGAATTTGGTTGATTACGAATAATTCCCATTCATAAACACCAATAACAGCAAACGGATTTTTTGTCGGTAATTTATAAAAAAATATTTGTGTTACTTTTAAGCTCTCAAATGTATAGGCGAAAGTAGTCCACTCCAACTCTGAGGTCATATTTTCCTAAGTCCTTGCTTCATGTTATTTCTATGTGACCAGAAGCTTATGCATCGTAATCAACCAAATTTTGTGACTCCTCTCAATGTAAATTCATTGAGGTATATTTTTTGAAACACAGTGTTATTATGATTATAAGACTAGCATCCATTTTAAAATTAAGCACTCGCAACGACCACATGAATGCGTAGTTTTGTTGAACTTATTGGTCATGCACAACTTAAAGCAAATTGAGTGTAAGAATTTTAAATCCCAGAACTAATAAGCTTAATTTTCCTTAGATGAACACGCTGAGTCGGAGCTGTTGGACGAAGATCCGATGACCCGCGAAGAAGAGCCACTGAAGAAATTTCGTGACCACGTCTGGGCGAAACCGCAGCCGGAATCCCATTTCTGTCAGTGGACCTGGTGGGTCATCAAATATCCGGCAGAATTGATCCTTGCATGCACTGTTCCCAGTGCTAGATCCATCTTCTTCCTGTCCATGTGTTTTGCCGTCCTTTGGATTAGCTTAATATCTTATCTCCTTGCTTGGTTCCTCACAATTTTGGGACACAACCTCAACATTCCGGATGCGATCATGGGGCTTACTGTACTGGCCGCCGGTACTAGTGTTCCAGAAGTAGCGTCCTCTTATATTGTGTCAAAAAAGGGTAAGTCTGGTAATAACATTCGTAAAATCCTGCCATATACGTTTCCTTAAGTTTATTAAGGGAAGAGAGAACGCTGTACTTCTAGTAAATAAAAACTTGTTAACAAGGCAATTTACAAACATTTTTTAAATAAAATGACATACCTTTTAAAACAAAAACACGTGCAATCCGTGTGCGTTACTAGGTTATATATGTTAATCCCAACTCCTTACTTTTCTTTTTATAGGAAGACTGTGATAGTACAAAAAATACTGTGTAGTTACCGTAAAATTGAAAAAGTCTGTCCTGATCGAAGAGTATTTTGGAGCGCTATGTGATATTAGTGTCCGCCCCGTTCCAACTTATATGCTACCTACTAAATTGACTGGTCCCTTGATACTGATCATATAGTCACATATGTCTCTTTTACCGTTTGCAAAGGTATACAAATTTACCCAGTTTCGATTTCGGCACTAAGCTGCAACCAACTTGTAACTAAAGACTTTGAAATAAGCGTGCAGAACTAGAACTTAAATGCATTTTAAAACTATTTGGTAAATATTACTTTAAATCGACTATAAATCAGAAAGTTTTGGAGCTCAAGGTGCAATTGTAACTTTTAAGAGGTAGGTAGAAAGGAGAAAATAATGTTACCGCCGCAAGTATAAATTCATTCTATACTTGAAAAGACTTACTAAATTCTTTCTGAGTAAAGTCGGGAAATTCGACTATAGCGTTCTCACGTGTTTATTTACTGTTTTATTTGTCCGCTTGTAAAGAAATATTTTACAGTGTGTTTGCTTTGATAAATATCTTCATTTTAACTAGCAAAAGTATTACTACCTACAGCTTATTTCGAGTAAAATTTTTCATTAACTACTTTTTTTTCAGGATATGGGTCAATGGCAATCTGCAATGCCATTGGCTCGAACACATTCGACATTTTCGTATGCCTCGGTCTACCCTGGCTGCTAAATATCATTATTGACCAGCACAAGATCTTGATCGACTCCACGGCCCTTACATTTACCACGGCCATGCTAGTGACAACTGCCGTCATCCTTTATTTTGGTCTTCTGGCGACCAGGTTTGTGATGGGCAAGATCGTCGGTTGGATTTGCGTAATCTCCTATGTGCTTTTTCTGATTATCGCTTGTACACTAGAGATACTATTGAGCAGAGAAAACAAGTGCGACATTGAGGATCCTAATTGATTAAATAAATATCTGAAATGCGAAGGTTATCAAAACGGGAGAAAGACGGCTTGGCACAAAACTGGTGAGGTGTCTCTCATCACTCCATCTTTTCTGACATCCCGCTATTATGCAGATATTTTATGCGATATTTATACTCGTTACTCGTGGAGTAACGTCCGTTTGTCCGTCTGTCCGTATGAACGCCTCGATCTCAGGGACTACAAAATCTATTAATGATTTTAAGCATGCAGCTATGTTGAGATTAAGCATGCAGCTTCCAGAGACTTAGACGCCGCGCAAGTTTATTTCCAATTGTTGCCACGTCCACTCTAACGCCCACAAACCGCATAAAACAGCCACGGCCACACTTTTGAAAAATGTTTTTTATTATTATTGTAATACTTTTTTATTAGTATTGTAAATTTTTATCGATTTGCCGAAAACCTTTTTGCCACGCCCACTTTACTGCCCACATACCGCCCAAAATTGCCACGCCCACCCTTTTTTTTCAATCTTTAATTTTATTCGAAAATTTTACCGACATTTCAGAAAATTATGAAATTTCTCGTTCGTACTTCCACTAGCTGAGTAACGGGTATCTGATAGTCGGGGAACTCGACTGTAGCATTATTTTCTGATAGATTTGGACGACCAGACGAATCAGACTAATCAGAGTAAAAATTAGACCGCGCATTTAGTTATTTATATGTAAAATCATTTGTCGTTACAAATTCTATTTGATATTGAACGTTTTTTAAGGACATTTACTTTCCCACTGTTAGTTTACGTATACCGCAATACTTCGACCAGAATACTTCGCATCAATTTAGTATGAGCATTTATATATTGATAAATATATATTGCGCAATGTGACTTTCAAAAACAACTTGTTATTATCTACAATTGGGAAATCTAAAGAGCTATGCAGTGCAAATTTAAGCAAAGGGAAAAAAGTAAATAATTACTCTCTTAATATCTTTTCAACAACATAAAACTCAAGCCCTTACCTTCAGAAATATGTAGCTCTTCGGCAAAAAAATCGTTTTTTGAAGTTGTACAACTAAAGTTTTATATAAAGATGTTTTATATAAACATTCAAATGGTTCGTTTGACAAAAAAATGCATTGCTGAATTGGTAAAGGTGACTGTTTTTGTTGCTAATAACTAATTTGTGCAGAAATTTATCATATATCAAAAGTTTCTAGGGGTTTTACAATTGTAATTTAAACCCTTGCAGTAATAAAATATACATAGCTCCTATGGCAGCTATACATGTATGTATGATATATTGTTCCGATTTTTAAAAAAAACTGGTGTAAACAGAATTATAAATTATGATCGATAACAACAAAGCTCGGTTTTATTTTAATTAATGACTAGCTATGTTATTTACCGACTGTTCCTGTAACAGACGGTTGCCACCTCACGGGTTTCCCAGACGACTGGGCCATCGCAGTCTATTCGAATTTGGACAGATCAACAACAATAAAAGCTGATTGTTCGTTCGCGACCAAACAGATAGCTACCTTTGATAAAATATGCCGGCGATAGACTGAAGATGACATGAGCAATGGCATCCAATGGCATTCAACGATTTGTGGCTTCAATCGCTTCCCCATCCGCATTATTCTCTTTTCCAGAAAATTAATTTGCAGATCAGTTTCAAAAGTAAGAAAGTCCCTACAATAACAGTCTCGATGGATAAAGGAAAGATAGCTGGTGCCCCTTGTTGTTGGAAAGATCAATAGCAGGAATATTAACTTGAAAATCTGGATGATTGGATTCCTATATTCTGACCTCCATCCCTGAAGCTGCAATAAAATTGGACAAAATATAGAAATATTCGGCTACTGTATGGTGCGGCACTCTGCGGGCTGAGACTGAGAGGTATTTCTTTGGCGCTGATCCTTGCATTGTGACATTCATCAGATTACACAGAACAAAGTTGTAGGAATTCGTGGATCTTTTGAGTGGTCCCAAAACGATCCTCCCAAAAAGTGTGCCTAAGTGATCTAGTAAAGTTTGGAGATTGTAAGTATCCAGTGATCACGTGGGTCAAGGACAATGTTGAGGCCTAACTTTCTCAGCTTTCTAGCTTTAATAGTTTCCCAGATCTCGGCGGGCACCGCACAGACCGCCTCGGCTAGTAATCCTGATCGCATATATACTCGTATACACTTTATAGGGTCGGAAACGCGTCTGCCCGTTACAAACATTTCAACCAGTATTTTAGCCTTTACCTATGAGCAGCTCCTAGTTCTTAATTGTCCTTTGCTACATAGACCTGCATATACAATATTGCCTTGAGCTAATTGATCCGAGGACAGGTGTCAAATCTGTTTCCGGCGATCGCTGGTAAATCTGCACATGGTGACGTCAATTAGCCATGTTATGACATCAAACGTATATAGATACTTCAATTTCACGTTCTCAGTGGTAATTTATTTCTGTGTTTGGTGTAGTATAATTTGTATTATTGATAAAGGTTTTTTAATTTCTTTGCCCACTTGAGACTGCTTGAAAAGCTATTTGTTCTAAAGATAATAGCGCATAGAACAGCTCTTCGTCGCCTCCCTTTTCGCATATGGGAATCCCTTGCAATTGAAAAATATAAGCTCTATCCGAATTCGACTTGAATATTGTGTCACCTCCAATAAACATTTATATTAATCAATGGGATAAAGAGAGCAGTTTACTGTGGCTTAAAATATTGAGATAAATAAACTTACCCAATACATTTTGTATTTATATTACAGGTTGATAATAGGAAGGTGGAGTATCCGATCCTGCTGCCAAATTTGATGTAGGACATTTGGATTAGGAACAATATATATAGGTATGTATAAAAACCACTGGTGTACTCCAAATGCAACTTAAAGCTTTTGTCTTAAACTGTTGTATATTTCTTTAAGCTTTATTCAACAGAATATTGACCTGAACAAACAAATTTTGTATTGAATTTCAATGCCCACCAAAGCTTTTTCTGAAAAAGATACTTGTTTATTTATGTATTTACCATATTAAGGTATTTATAAGGGTCAACTTAATAAGACATAGTGCAATAAGCATGTTGCAAAAACATCCGACTTTGAAATGAGGGTGGGATAATAAAATGTAAATTAAATATATTTGTTGAGAAGGAGCCATTATAAACAAGAACACAATGTTTAATATTAAAAATATCTTACAATTGTTTACGGTGTTCCAAAAATGGCAATTTATTCCAATGTGACTAGTATAAACAGATATTTTGTATAAACAAATCTTATCAAATCAAATAGTCAAAACGTTAGCATTAAATTGTCCAAAATATTCGAGTACTGCAGGTTCTTTGGAGTCGAGCAGCTCCCCGAGACGTTTTATCGGCATTTGATTGATATATCAATGTACTGATAAACAACAACGCCAATATATTCTTAGAGCCTCTGTCAGTTTTTACGCCATTGTTTCGATGAGATCCATGACGTTGAAATATATTTTGAACGTCATGAACACCAACGAAATCCCCCGAAATAAATATTCCCGGAAAGAGAGCTAAAATCTGAACCGAAATCAATTTCAAAAGCATATTGATTTAATGTGCTGGTTATCGTCGATGATAAAGAAAAACCTCTTCTTGCTGAAGAATGTCTATAAATATTACTTATTAATTTTATATTTACAATCTATTCGGATGAAATAATCTATGAAAACGAGGGGAGGAAATAAATAAAAGAAACAACGTCATAACACTGGTCATTTCGGAATGATGTCATTTCAAAATACATATCGATTGACAATGATGTGCAATTTAAGAAGGAAATGTTTTTTCCAGGTGGAGTTAATAAAATATATACGCAAAGTACACAAGCGCCACCTAGCGAATAAATTAAAATGTATTAAATCCCATAAAGCTGCCATTTTTGTTACCCCTCCGGACGGTATATTGATTTTGGTCCGAAGATTGCAACGCAGTAAAGGAGTCACTTGCGACCATATGAAGTTTATATTTTATTGATCATGCCCGCCTGTCTGTGTCATCGCAAAATATACCTCAGTTTTGAAGTTGTCTGCATTAAACTTTCCCAAAAGTCTTCTTTTTATTAAAGGTAGTAGACTTATGTATAAGGATCAGATCAGGATGTATACGGGTCAGACCATAATCGGGAAAAAATTAAAACAACATTTACCTTCGGTGCCTTTGATCATAAAGTTATATTATTTTTTCCAATTATTTGTATAGGTGCTGACCTGCTCAAAACTATTTTTTACCTAATAGCAATTGTTTTCTTTACTGCGTTGCAATCTGTTGACTAACATAATAATACCCTGCAGACTCCTGCAGAGTAAATGGTATATTCGTTACTCGTTAAATATAGGGAAAACTGTTGAAAATAGTGTTAGAGGCATGTGGAACCGTTTCCGGACCTATAAAGTGTGTAACTTCTTGTTTACCCGTTACTTGTAGAGCAAAAGTATTTTACAGTCATTCTAGTCAAACGTCTATCTAAAAAAGCTAAAAAGTATTGCCATGCCCACCAAAAGTTAAAGGCACCCATAAGGCTCAAATGCTTAAAGTAGTCGAAAATGAGTAACTGGCATTAGTTCAGCATTCCAATAACCACCTATATAATTTTAAATTCCATTGAATATATCACAAAAAAAGGTTTCTCGAAAACATATCACAATTTCCCATGCAAGCAATAGTTGATATGTGATAGTAGTTGGTATGTGATAGTCGGAAATCGGACTTCAATCTTTGGTTTTGTTTTTGAGTAATAAGATTCGAGAAGAATCGGTGGTGGTCATCAAAACATTGATATATTTCAGTGGAAGAGAAGCTGATTGTCACATCTTAATCACTTTAATTACATGTTTACATTATAGCAAAGTCCATTGTAAAGCTTACAAGCCCAAAAATTGTTGTTGTTAGCTGAGGAACGGGAATTAGATCTATTGTTAAAATCCAAATTTATATTTAGCTAATTTTACAATAATTAAAATTAAAGAAGCGAGGAAAAGATTTTATTTTAATACTCGAAAGTATATTAGGTGTCAAACAAATGGGGAGACAATTGA